TCATGTGCTAGGCAAGCTCTACCATTGAGCTACTTCCCCAGCTCTTTTACTTTTATTTTGATATAGGGTCTGCCAAAGTTCCTGAGGCTGACCTTGAATTTGTGATCCTGTCGCCTCGCCCTCCTAAGTAGCTGTGATTACAGGCACATGCCACCACACCTGGTTGGTATGTGTTGTTAATTCCCATTGCTCTAAGAACAGTGCTGTTAATCAGGCAACAAGTATTCACTAAGCATTTGTGTGCTGAGTGCAAGGCACAGGTAATGTGAAACAGATTTATCTAACAAATATGTGTCAAGTACCTTGCTAGGTAGTCAATAAATCTTATTGAAAGAATGAATATAAAATATAGATATATGAAGGACAGATTGGATTTGGATAGTTTGGCAAGATTAAGGACTGGAAAGGGCAAACTTGGGCTAGGGTTGTGGCTCAGCGGTAGAGCGCTCGCCTCGCACATGGGAGACCCAGGGTTCGAGCCTCAGCACCACATAAAAATAAATAAGTGAAATAAAGGTGTTGTGTCCAACTAAATAAACATTAAAAAAAAGGGCAACCTTATTCTAAGTTGAAGCAAAGATTCAGAAATGGGAATGGATAGTGTTTATCGTAGTCTAGAGAGGAGCATAAATTAGCATATTTTTTAAAAATAATTTTTTTGTTGTAGATGGACACAATACCTTTATTTTAGTTTTATGTGGTGCTGAGGATTGAACCTACTGCCTTCCACATGCGAGGCGAGCACTCTACACTGAGCTACAACCCCAGCCCATAGAAAATTAATTTTAATTCTTTTATTTTAATATTTATTTTTTAAATATTAAAATTGTGGTTGGACATAATACCTTTATTTTATTTATTTATTTTTATGTGGTGCTGAGGATTGAACCCAGGGCCTTGCATATGCTAGATGAGCACTTTACTGCTGAGCCACAGCCACAGCTCTAATTTTAGTTCTTTAAAAAAACTCAAATTATTGGTAATGGCTGTATTGAGGAGAACTCTGAAGAAAGAGTGCTGGGGCTGGGGTAGTGGCTCAGTGGTAGAGCGCTTGCCTAGCATGGGTGAGGCACTGGGTTCAATCCTCAGTACCACATAAAAATAAATGAAATAAAGTATTGTGTCCAAATACAATTAAAAAAAAAGAAAAGAAAAAGAAAGAGTGCTGGGACTAATTAGTAATGTCTGCCATGTACTCTATATGGAAGATGTCAGTTGTAGTAGATTGATATTGTTTGGAGTTATGTCCTCTCTCCTCTGCCCACTGCCGTGTGACTTACAGTATCTCTTGTGAAGGAGTAATATGCCTCATTTCGTTGACTTTGGGCTTGGTCATGTTTCATGTCTTGGCAGATGGAATGGAGCAGATGTGACTCATGTTACAGTCAAGCACCCGAGTTTCTTCTTTTTTTCTCTGCCACGAGAATGGGCATATTGCACATGAAGTTTTCTATTTCTGCCTGGGTCCTGGGATGAGACCTATGGAGCAGAGCTGCAGCCTACCCACAGCCCACATATACCTAAATCGGAGATGAATCTTTGTTGTAAGTCACCGAGATTTGGAGTTGGATTTTATTGCAGCAAAGCTGACTAATAGCCTTGGCTAGATAGTGGCAGATAAAATTTGAAAGGTAGGTTTAAACCAGAGTCTTAAATAGTCTTAAAGAGCATCTTAAATGCTAAGTGAGGTGGAGCCTGCTATGGTGTTTCTCAGAACCGTTTCTCTCTTTAACACAGAGTTGCACCACATTTTCTAATTTCTCATTTCATTGACGTGTTTCTCTTCCCAGATCTGGCCTCTGAAACTTCTCGAGGGAAATCCCTCATGTTCTTTGCTTGGGCGGTTGATGCATATGATCTTAAGTGCAGTGACCTTGAAAGCTACATGTTAAGGATGTTAGAGCTGCTGAGCTGGGGGCATGGTGCATGCCCGTTAACCAGGAGGGCTAGACAGGAGGATTGTAAGTTCGAGGCTAGACTGGGCAACTTAGCAAGACTCTGTTCCAAAATAAAATTAAAAGGGCTGAGGATGCAGCTGAGGGGGTAGAACACTTGCCTACAATGTGCCAGGACAAGGCCTTGGTGTGGTGCTGTGGGTAAAAGAGACATGGTTCTTGAATCCTCACCAGGCACAGAACTGCCCACTCCTCAGGGTCATTATTTTGTACTTCACTTGACCAATATATCAATTTCTAAATTTGGGGCTTATTTTTACAGCAGGTGGTGTTTTCTTAATAAATTTATCAAGTTCAAAGGTTTGAACTTGGGGATGGGGTTGTGGTTCAGTGGTTGAGTGCTTGCCTAGCATGTGTGAGGCACTGGGTTCAATCCTCAGCACCACATAAAAATAAATAAATACACAATTCGATGTTTTTCTTTTTTCTTTCTTTCTTTTTTTTTTTTTTGAGGTTTGAACTTAATTCTCATCAGAATGGGAAGTTAGTCACTAATGATTTTTGAGCAGAAGAATAATCCTGTGAGGGCTGGGGCTGTAGCTCAGTGGCAGAGTGCTCGCCTAGCAGGTGTGAGGCACTGGGTTCTATCCTTAGCACCACATAAAAATAAACAAATGAAATAAAGGCATCTATAACTAAAAAGAAAAATTTTAAAAAAATAATCCTGTGAAAGATGAAAGTTATAGGGATCAAATATTTCTGAGTGAGTTTGAAAGATTTGGGGGCTGTCTTTTTTTTTTAGAGTTGAGGAAAACTGACATTTATTTTTTCAGTATTAGGGATTGAACCCAGGGGCCCTTTACCACTGAGCTGTATCCCCAGCCCCCTTGTTTTAAAAAATGTTCATTTTGAGACAGTTTTATCAAGTTGCCTAGGCTGTCCCTGATCTTATGATCTTTCTGCCTCGGCCTCCCAGCCTGGAATAATATTTGAAGGGCTCTCAGGAACTGTAAAAGGAGTTGCTGAAAAATGAATCCTATTTTCCTGAAAAAAAAATTTTTTTTGAGGTGCTGGGGACCAAAGCTGGGATCTCTCACATGCTAAGCAAGTGCCAAAGGCAACAGCCCCAATGACATAGGACTTCACACTAGGCCTACCTCTTCAAGGTTTCACACTCTCAACATGGCTACTCAGGGACTCAGCTTCCAAGATGTGATCCCTTGGGGACAAACCACGTCCAAGCCATAGCAATGTCTTTAGTTCTTTCTTTATTACTTGGGAGCAACATGTGACCCTTAGATAGTTCATCCACCCATTCATTCATTCATCTTTATTAAATAAATTTGCAAAAAGCATTATGGGTCAACTGTTGGAATCATAGCCAGTGACATTTGTAACTTTCTACATTCTTGAATATGTTCATAGTATTTATAACCAATACTATGAAGTGGATCATATTATTATTGTTATGTAATTTTTATTGATGAAGAAACAAAAGCTCACAAATATTAAATAACTTGACTGCAGCCATATAGCTAATATGAGATTCAAATCAAGAATTTCTGACTCCCAAGTGCTTTTCTATATCTTCTACATCCATCACAGTCTGAATTCAACAGTGCCTCAGGCCTGTTTTTTTGTTGTTTTGTTTATTGTCATTTTGGCCTCAGTGTCTCGATTCATGCATCGAGGCAGATGTACCTGCTATAACGGACAACCCCAAGATCGCAATGTCTTCATGCCATAACGAATTCTATTTCATGTAAGCCTGTGTGGATATTTGTGATCAGTGGACTCAAGAATCTAGATCTGTTCATGCTGTGGATCTGCTATCTTAATGATGTGGCTTCAGGTTGCCTGGGTGTCTTCCCACCAGCATCCAAGGAAGAGTTGGCCTATGGAGAGGGCACAGCCACCCTTCTGTGTCTTGAAAGTAACACATCACTTCTATTTAGAATCTATTGGTAAGAAACAGCTCTGTGGTCTCTTGTTCCAAAGGCCAACCCCACTCTCTATCCAGTGGGTTGAGCCAACATTTTAGAATTAGAGTTGTTTTGAGAAAAAAGATGCCTCTGGAGAGAAGGCTTTTCAGTGATTCTAATCTGGCCACATACTTGGATCTCTATTTGTCCCTCATGCTTTCCCTTGGAATTTACAGAGCACCAACTCTGTGAACCACGCAGAGAGTCCCTGCTGAAGAACAAACTGGAGCCCAGCCAACCACAGTGCGGGTGAGGCATTGGGTCCCAAGGTGACTGGTCGCTGGAGTGGTCTTCTCCCCTATGGGATAGTGTTATTCGTATAGTTATAGCATTCCTTATTTTCATATTTGATCAATGAAAAGCGATTTTTTTTTTTACCCTGTCTTGTGGTCACAATGTAAGTGGCTGGTTTCCTGAATTAGGCATTGCTGGCAATTTCAAAATACTGCTTTCTAGGAGACTGTGTGGCTGGGCATGTGCCCTCTGCTTCCCTGGTCTCCCCAGTGCTTGGCCTTGGAGGGGGTTGACCTTGGAGCCAGTCACCTTGAGGAGAAAGGACTCATCTGCTGAAGAGAAAGGATCAGAGTAGACAGGCTTAAGAGGGATTTAGGAGCTAGCACAGGCAGGATGTGGGGTCCAAGGAGGGAGAAGCAGGACATTTTGATTTCTGAAGTGTAGGCCATTTTGATGCCTGTAGACATGCAACTAAGAGGAAAAAAAAAAAACTCCAAAGAACAGTAACTTTCACTTTTTAAAAAATTTGTCACTTAAATTGCCGAATACATGTGACGGGCTCCTTGTCCCATTCTGACAACCTAGAGAGAAGGAAAAAATCATGGCTGATACCAGGTTCCTGGCTTGGGCATCTGAATGGATGGCAATCCTTCCTGCCTTGGGGACCTGGGAGAAGGAGCCGTTTGGACTGTGCCTGGTGAGGAGGGCTGACATGACGAAATTGGAACTTCTACCTCTGCACAAAGGGGGCTTGGGTACCTCTCAGTCTTCAGCAAGCCGTTCCTTGGGCTGTGGGCCCAATCTTCCTTTCTGTCATTAATTTGCTCTTAAAGGAGAAGATGAAGAATGATTTAGGGCTTTCTGGACCAGGCCGAACTGCAGCGCCATCATGGGAGTGGACATCCACCACAAGGACCGAAAGGTTTGACTCAAGGAACCCAAGAGCCAGGACATTACCTAAGGCTGTTGGTCAAGTTGTACAGGTTTCTGGCTACACCGGCCAATTCCACTTTCTACCGAGTTGTACTCAAGAGGTTGTTCTTGAGTCTCATCAAAAGGCGACCTTTCTCCTTCTCCTGGATGATCGGGAAGATGAAGCATCTTGGTGGAGAAACCAAAACGGCTGTGGTTGTGGGGACCATAACAGATGAGGACTGTGTTCAGGCGGTGCCCAAACTGAAGGTGTGGGCACTGGGCATAAGCAGCCAAGGGCACAGCCTCATCTTCAAGGCCGTGGGCAAGATCCTCACCTTCGACCAGCTGGCCCTGGATTCCCCCAAGGGCCGTGGCACAGTCCTGAGAGGTGTACGGGCATTTGGTGAGGCTCCCAGGACCCCATACAGCCACACCAAGCCCTATGTCCCTTCCAAGGGCTGGAAATTTAAGCATGCCAGCGACCGGAGGGCCAGCCCTGGCTACAAAAACCAACCCTGGATCTTACTGTTAATGCAGAGATTTTGAATTCTGAAGACAAATCAAAACAAAAAGAAGATTTAGAAACCAAAGCGCTGGGGAGAAACAGAGGAGCTAATCATAGATAAAGATTCTGCACATGCGTGTGTGCACATTAGTGCCCAGAGGAGCAGGGTTGGAATGGCAGACCACAGGTGTTCACCCGCATTGTACATCAAACATTTGCTCAGTGATTAGATCACTAGAAATCCATCAAAACCACGGGGAACCCCCTCCCCGGGTCTTAGCCCCTCTCTCCATAGAGGAATCATCTTTATCTTCTTTTCTGGTTGCACCCCTATTACCTGGTTGAGATGGTCATAATCGAAAAGAGAATCACTGGGTGGCCCCCCTTTCTCAGCTCATGTTAACTTCCTATGGTGCCTGGGTCGGTGTTGTGCAGGGGGAATGGCTGAGGAGGGGCCACGGGTTGACTTGTGTGGTTTCAGAGGACGTCCTTGTCTCTGTCTATCTGGGTCCCTCTTTCTGTCTCTTTACATTCACAGATTGTGTGGCATTTTGGAGGGTGGAGTGCCTGGGCACCTAGCCTACCACTTCCCACCCCGATCTGGCCCTGGGCACAAGCCACATGGTGCTGGCCATCCGCCTGGCCTCTTGCCCATCTCTTACAGCCTCAGCTGCCAGGCTGGCACAGGGACCAACAGAGCTTGCCCCTGCCCTCCCCCAGTGCTGCTCCTGGCCGCGCGGCATAAGCTGCAGTCCGTGGAGGACGACCAGGTGCTTAGTGCGTCTGTGGACAGGGGTGGGGGGCAGGGGGGCCAGGAGTGGTTACTCTGGTGTGAATATTCCCCACTGGGTCGCAGGTGATGTCTCCTTCCTCTGGGTGCGAGTAAAGCCTGGGAGTGGCTACACTTCATGCCTGTGGGCTGTCCCCAGGGTGGGTGCAGGCAGGGACTCCCGCACTGTGACATGGGCCTGGGTTTGCACAGTAGCACTGAGGTGGACCTGCAGTGAATATTGCCTTTCAGGCCACCCATGTCTGCGGGTGTGGGTGACACGCGTGAGCCTGAGGTTAGGGTGCAGGCGTGGGCTGCAGCACTGGGCCCTTCAGTCCCCTGGCCTGGACCCGGGCATCTGCTGTAAGGGGCACGGTCCCACCCTGGCTGGGGGAGCTACAAGCCATCATCCTGGGTGGCGGTGCCCCGGCTCTGGGTGTGGACTGGATCTCAGCCCTGGCAGTGAGGGGTGGGCGCGGATGCCCAGTGTGTGAGGATGGTATGTCGGGGGATGCCGGTCGTGTCTGTCCTTATACCCATGTGAACTGTATGTTCAAATATGTGAATCCCCTAAAGAGATGTTGGGTGGCGAGGGGGTGGGAAGCCTGAAAAAGATGGAGAATTTATGAGCTGCTTTTGTCAGGAGACAGTCGTAATGAAGAAAATTCAATTTTCTGCAGCTGGGAGAGTCAATATGTTAAATCTCGGAGAAGCTGTGGAGTGACAGCAGAATGGCAAAGTCAATGGGACGTGTGTGGGAGGGAAGCCGTCTATCTGTGTCTACAGTGGGACCGCCTCCTCTCTGTACCCTTGAACTGAAGCTGGGGGACAGGATGGTACCAGATACTTGAGTTCCTGGAACTGCCCTCCTCTGTCTTTGTCTTCCATGTCAGTGGTCATCTTCTCTTGCTTGCTGCTTGTAGAAAGAAAGGCTGCCCTTTCTCAGTTCAAGTCTACTCTAGCACCTCTTTTCCAGGAAGTCCTTCTGATAGTCTAACCAGCACTCCCTCTTGCTGCAGTTAATAATTTTATAGTGACTACTTGTACCACAAAGTGGTATAAAAAATTCTTTTTTCTTTCTAACTTTTCATTCTCACATGACTCTCTGTGGCTGGCCTGTCTCCCAGCAAGTTTCAGCTTTCCCCAACCTGTCTTTATATCCTTCTCTCCAGCCTCCTGTTCCCAAAGGCAGTAGCATAGAAAGAGTTTGGGGGGAGGGAAGCTGGGGATTCCTCTGTGAGCCACAGTGTCACCAGGAGCCGTGATTAGCCAAGCTGCTGGCTGTGTAATTGGCGTGTGCCCGCGTCCCAGGGGTCTGGTGTGTTAACAGCGGGTCCCTGTGGTGAGTAACGAGATCGTGCCCATGGCTGGTTGCACACACTAATTAATTAGCGCTTCTCTGGTGTCGAGGAATGAGGAGGAGCCGGGGGAGGTCATGGTGGGGGTGTCTTAAAGCTGGAGGGTGACCTGAGGTCCTGTTGGAATAGGGCACGCAGGCTGGAGTGCAGGACTAGGGGCCAGAGAGTGGAAATCAGAGATTCTGGCTGAAGAGAGGGTGGGCTCTGGTGGCCTGGGCTGGGTGGAGGCAGCGTCCCTCCCCCAGCTAAGGGAGGTCTCAGGCCCCATCTTGCAGCATCCCTTCTCCAGGTGGCTTTGAGGGAGGGAGTGGGATGGGCAGGAGACCCCTCTGACTCTTCCAACCTGGTCCCTCACCACACTATGCCCACTTCTCACTCAGGGGCTTCACACTCACCGTGTGCACAGAGCTCCAAAGTGCCTTTGCACCCTTGCCACTTAGTAATCACTGTCTCCCCTTTGCTGCCCACACCGCTATAGACTCCTTAGCCTTGGGTTGACCTTGAGGTTCAGAAGCCTCTTCTGAAACCGGAAATCTGGAACCCAGACATTTGGGAGAAATACTATGAAAAACCTGAAGAAATAGGGGGAGGGGAGAAGATGGCTAGAGACCTCCCGGATTTCCCACTATCACCATGACCCCTCATAGCAGCAAGAGAGATTAAGGTGCAAGGAGAGGAAGAACTTCCAGCGAGCAGTCAGGCTCTACTTCTTGTTTGCAGAGGTAGAAATCTATGCCTGACACTAGAAGGGATGAGAATGAAAAGGACCCCCAGAAGGAGATGCCCTATCCTTGAGTATTGGGATTTAGCAAGGTGTTGGGGGTGGGCGGGGGGCGGGAGGCAAAACACCGAGAAAACGCGCAGAAAATAAGATGAGACTGCGGCGGCGGGGACTCTTTGGCTTCCATGTGGAGGCTCAGTCCTGTTCCCGCACACGGTAATTGCTAAATTACCCGCCATCTGCTCCGCTCTCCGACATAAATTATCCGCGAGGAGAAAAGACGCAGAGGCGGCGCACTTTTCTTGCTCTCGCCCAAACCCGCGCTAGAAGCTGCGGGGGAGTCAGCCTTCCAGCCTGGGAGGTGTGTCGTGGTGGGGGGACACAACCTCAGGGGCACAATAGTTGCCTGTGTCCTCCCCTAAGGGGCAGTGGCTTAGGGGAGGCCGGGATGTCCGGCCTCCGGAGGTCCCCGGGCTGCCCAGGCGGACCCCTGGGAACCGGGGCGGGGGCGAGCTGTGCGCTGGGCCCGGCGTCCCGAGGCCACTCGGAGGGAGGCGGGGCTCGCCGTGGTGGGCGGGGCTTCCCAGGTGGGACCGAGTTGCCGAGCCAGGTTTTTGCCCCTTCACCCCCTTCCTTCCCTCTCCCGGCTGCCCACCACTTGGCTTGTGGTGTGGTGTCCCCAGATCTCCTGTCGCCATCCCCCATCCCAGAAGGAAGAAGGGTGGTGGGCAGGCGGAGGGCGCGCAGGAGAGGGGCTGGTCTCCTTCCTATCATTTTGCTCCAAGCCTCCCCCCAGGATCTAGGTTTTGGAGGGCTGGAGAGGTGCGAAGGCGGGTGTGGGAGAAATGACTTGAAAAGGGGCAGGAATGGCAGGGTGCCGCGGGCTGGAAGGCGGAGGTAACGGGAGGTGGACCCCTGGGAGATGAGGTGTCAGGACACGTGGGGCAGAAGCTGGCGGGGAGTGTGGGGGGGGCGCAGGTCTGCAATCCTTCCCCTGTCGCTTGGGAGGCTGAGGCAGGAAGGTCGCAAGTTCAAAGCCAGCCTCAGCAAGGCCCTGTTTCAAAAAAAAAAAAAAAATTAGGCGAGAGGGGTGGAAAGTTGTCTGAGCAGCCACGGGCAGCGCGGAGAGGTGGAGAGCCAGGATGTGGGCAATGCTAGATGGAGACTCAGAGATGCAGGTGGTTGGGTATCTGGATGGAACTGGAGGAGGGCCCGAGGGGTGGGATGAGACGACAAGATGCTCTGCAGCCACTCAGGCCCTGGGAGGAACCCAGGGAGCAAAGGCCCTGGCAGGGAGAGCAAGGGCGTTTGTGGGTCTTTGGAGGGTCCCAGGAAGGTGGTCCATCACCACTTCCGGCTTTGAGACCGAAGTTGACTCTTGCAGGGAGCGGAGGGGCCGCCTGGGCGGCAGGAGTCGGGCCCCAGCCCTCCCAGCTCCAGGCACCTGCAGGGGTGTGCCCATCGGGCGGGGCGGGCTGCGCCATTCCCAGCTCTGAGCGCAGGAGCTAGTGGGGTTTCTTCGGAGCGATTGTTTAGTATTCATGGGGCGACGCAATCTCTCCCACATCTGCTTAGCACAGCAAGTCCTGTCATATAACTGTCTCCCTCACTGTCTGTCCATAAAGAATGTCTCGGAATTGGTGTAATTCAGAGAAATTAATGACGACTTTCCGCGGGACGGCTCCCTGGGGGATGATTAACACTTCATCGTCCATCTGATGCGCGGGGCCCAGCGCTCCATCGCGAACATTTGGGCCGTGGCCAGCCGCATTAAAGGTTATTACGGAAAACGCGACCTGCAAACGGGCGAGAGGCATGATGGACCAGGAGGGGCGGGGGCCGAGGGCGGGGGAGTCAGATGGAGCAGGCCAAGTCCGAGATCAAGTTTCCCGAGGTGTGCGCACCTGGGGGGTCCGAGGCGCAGGAGATGGGTTTTTGTGTGAGCAACTGCAGGGCTGGGAGGTTGTTGGGGAGCTGCTGTGCCCACACCTCCACCGCAGAGGCTAGGGAAGGGAGTGGGGTCCTTTTTCATGGGTGGGCACATTGCTGATGGAGGCTTTCCTTGTCTTTTAATCCTCACAACGTTGTTGGGTAAGTTTCATTCACCCCACCTTACAGTTACGTAACAGGTTCAGCGAGGTATGCAATGGGCCCAAGTTAGCACAGCTTGTTAAGAGACAAAGGCAGAATTTG